AACAAGTGTTTGAGATTCTTTAGCAACAAATTTCAGGATTCAAACTCTGGATATCTGAATTCAACATTTCTCGCTTATGGTGAAATCATAGCGTTAGAGCTTTTAGGCAGTGATCCCAGTCTCTCATGGGCTCTGATTCTGTTTCATCTCTTCAAATGGCGTATTTTGTATAGAAATATTGCTTTGATTATCTCCCGACATTGAGTTTGTCTTCTCTACATCTCGTCCAAAGAAACAATGTTGCTTAAAGATATCCTATGGATTACAGTTCCATTAGCTGTATGTGGATATGTTTTCGTCTCTTCCAACGATAGTTACTTTTGTTTTGAGATTGCAGGATTTCATTCCACATGCTTTGACTCACTATAAGACCTATGAGAATGCTTTCTTCAGTAAAGTAACAGGTAACTTGACGCCAATTTTCATGTGCTTGTAGTTTTAGACTACTTTAATGCTTGCGAACGAGTATTTAGATCAAACCATTGAGTTACAATAGATAGTTTCCCAAAACCTTCATTCGTATTTGTGGTGCATCAAACAATTTATAGTCAAGAGAAGTGTAATCTCGCCACTAGCTAGTTAATTGACCATTTATAAATAATAGCTAACCTCTTGGAACGAGGAATGTATTAGAGGGAATTTAGTTTTCTTGATTTTTGAATCAAGTGGTCAATTTGTAAGTTAAGGGGTTGCCATGAGCACGAGCTAGTTACGGTTATTTGAACTTGCAGAGGTCTTGAGGAAGGAGAATATTGCTGAGATCTCCTGGAAGCACATGTGAGTGGTGCTTGTTCTGTTTCGTAAGGGTGGTTCTTGTAGATAAGGCGATATAATGGTAGTAATTTAGTCGCTTTTCAGTTTTGTTAACAGGTGAATCTTCCAGTTGTTCAATCTGTTAGTGACCAAGCCGTGGGAACGTGTGTCATTCGAGGAGTTAAACCAGATCAGCAGTTGGTCAAGGTAATTTACCAATGATCTGGTTCTTGTGATCATTTGTTAGCTTCAGTAGTATTTAAGCTTGGCCATCTTGGATTATCTGCGGATTGTGCATGATGAGCTGGTGAAATTGATGGGTGGAGAAGTATTTGAGCTACTGTTGTTGGCCAAATGATCACCATGAGTGGGGAAGACAAGTGTTTGCCCTAAACTCGCTTGTTACCTAAAGAAGCAGAACGTGGTGGCGATTTTGGTGGGAGTGTTACTCTCAGTTTACAGGGAATATTTTGTCAGTTTGTTTGAAGTTCCTTTGTTATTTTCTTGGTGGATATTTTGCAGCTTTAATCTAACCGCTGCTTCAGTAATTCATGTATGGGGACTACTCTCAACCCAACAAAAAGGCTTCTCCTCACAAACCAAAAACCATCACATCTTATCATGGATTTCTCTCAGGAGAAGGAAAACGGTTCCTGCAGTTTTATTGCGGTTTTGGACAAAAGATTGTGTTCCATTACTACGGTTTACCAATCCGGGTCTAAAGACAGACAGAAGCAAAGTGTGTACATTGTGGCAGTGTTAGTGTAGCATTCTTTGATTTTATTAGTGATCACTTAGCTTATATATGTGCACACAGGATCATGAGCTAAAATGGGGTCTCTTTGTATTTTTCTTTGGGTGCTGCTTTATGTATAGTAGTGACACCTTTTGTGTGTGTCTGTGAAAACAGTGGGAATTAAAATACGACTCTTCACCAAGATTTGGTTTTGTAAACACAAGATGTAAGAGACAAGAATTAATGTTCCCACTGAGCAATTTGTTTGATAGGTACTTATATGTACATGGGATAATTAAAAGTAATACTGAACTCTTATTTTGTGTTAAATTGGATTTGGTACTACTGGTGTCACCAGATACTACTGTGTGTTAAGCATAAAACATGTGTGTAAAAAAATAAGAATAAAAAAAATAAACATATTTAACATGCACGTCAGATGAATAAAAAATATTAAAATTTTACTAATAGTCATACTTAGTTTTCTAGTAGTACCATATTCCACATAGTTATATTTTGATAATTTTTATGTATAATCAGTAGTTACTGCATAAAATTATAATTTTTCTAGTAGTATTGATCTAATTGATCCATTTGTATATATTTACTATCGTTTCGTATACTAAAATGTTTGACAACACCATTTTTTTTTGTTTCACATGACAATGAGACTAGTAATTCATACATTAACCATATGTATAAGGTATAGTTTTAGTAAAAAAATATGTTTACCTAAAAGTTCTATATTTCTATTCATATGTTTCCAGTGCTACCTAATTATCAAGCAAATACAATAATAGGTACATAAACGAACATAATAAAAAAAACAAAACGTAAAGAGAAAGAACACACAAAATAATCAACAC